GTCATCAAAAATTTCTCAGATCAAGTCAAGTCTAGTAAAAAATAACCTGACTTGACCAGACTTCTACTTAGATTTTGCTCTAACGTTCCCAGTTTGTAGAGAACACTTCGAAATATATGTCCTGAAGTTTTTTCGGCTTACTGACATTATGTGGCTAAGAAAAAAATTAATTACTTAAAAAAATATTGTTAAATTTTTCAACCAGGGACTACTATCAAAAAAATTCCTGTCCATTCTACATTCATCACAAAGACTTGGTTGCTGCCTAGATCGACAGAGAAATGCGTGGAGAATATTTTCTACGGAAAATATGCAAAAACTTTTTGTTCTTTCCTTCCTGTTATTGACTAATTAGTACTAATTAACGTTATTTTAACACATTCACGGAGGACTTGGGTAAGTTATCGCAGCCAGGTGGAGAATTATGGATGATTGAAGTAAGCAACGGCGGATTAATCACTTTCGCTGGTGGTGTTCCGATCATGAATAGTAATGGTACTGGGATTGGCGCAGTCGGTGTATCAGGTAGTTCAGATGCCTACGATAAGAAAGTCGCTGTTGCTGGGGCTGCTGCTCCTGCTGTCTAGTGAGTACGTCAGAACAAGAGAAATAACAACAAAGGATATTCGATATAAGGCACATTGAAAGTTTCTAATATCGAAAGACCTTCGTTTCAACGGAAAGATTTATTTTTTGTTTTTCATTAACCTCATTTTTGATTTTTTGTTTATTGTCTCATTGTTGTTTTAAAAAATAAGTTAAACATTTTATTTACTCAGAGCACTAGGTAGCCCAGTGTGAAAAACTCACAAGAAGTTCAAATCGACATTTTATACTGAAATGTTATTTTCGTTTTATTACAATTTTAAACTTATACAGTAGCTTTTTGGATTTCAAAATGTAAAACATATCGTTGTCGAATATAACGGGTGATGTAAAAGATCCTGCACAAATGTCGAGCGCTATTTTTACATAATTCTAATGTTCTGCAGGCTTCGTCTTTCTTTATTTTAAAAAGCAAAGTCTAAAGTATCCAACGCACATTAAAAAACAAAGTTTTCTATCATAAACAGCATGCCTGGGTACGAAGAAAGGAAAAGACAAAGAAATCATGATAAATAAATGTCGTGATTATTATCGTCGTGATGAAGTAGAATTAAAAAAAAATTGAAGAATTTTATCAAGCATATACTTCATCAGAGGCAATTGACTGGTATACAAGAGACAGTTTTGTCTATCGTTTACTCAATCGAACATTTCGTACAGAAGACATTGCTTTGTGGTATTTATTTTCTTTCTTCGTCACTGATCTTAGTACACAGATACCAAAAGTGCATAAACAACAAAATATTAAGGAGCGTTTACTATTGTATCGCGGACAGAGCCATATGCCTACTGAAGAACTACAGAAAATAAAACAAAACATTGGCGAAATAATTGCGACAGATTGATTTTTCTCCACATCAAAATCCGAGTCGATAGCCTTACAATTTGTGTTGGAAGCGCAAAATATAGATGATTTCAAAGTTGTACTCTGTGAACTTGAAGTTGAGCCGCAAAAAGTTACAAACGTAGTATTTGCTGATCTTGATCGGTCTTGTAAACATGCAGAATTAGAAGTTTTATTTACTATCGGAACGGTTTTCGAGATTCGAGATGTAACGGACGAAACGATGCGTTGGTGTGATGATGAAATACGTTTGGCCAGAATAAAAATCGCCGCTACAGATAAAGAAACGATTTTCGCTCAACGACAAGGTGTAATATTAGGTAATATACTCAAAAGTGGGAACATCGATCTTCAATATGGACGTCTTCTGATCGATATGGACCAGTATGAAAAAGCTGAATCCTATTTTCAAATGATGTTACATGTTCTCACGAAAACACATCCAAATGTCACTTTTATTTACGATCATCTCGGTGATTTATATATGCGTATAACGAGTTGGAATGATGCTCTTAAAAATTTTAATTTTGCTTATCGAATAAAAAAGAATAATTTCCCATTGAATCATCCCATGTTTGGATTAACTCTAAACGGTCTTGCTAATTATTATAAAGCAATTGGAAATTATTTTAAAGCATTTGTTTTTTATCGTAAGGTGCTCAAATGTTGTCGGAATGATAAGTTTAATCGGGCTATAACTATGCTAAATATTGCTACGCTTATATTCAAAAATCAGTATAGAAATGCCTTAAACTTATGCGCTTCAGCACTGGCCGACTTATACCGTGTTCGAGGTAATATAACTAAAGCAATGTCGTTCTGCAACAATCAACTGTCGCTTTATGATGCGCATCTGAGCGAAAACCATCCAAATTTGGCACCCCCCAACAGCAGACGAACGG